CCATTGTTGCAGCCACTGTGACAACCTATCTTGTTGAGGGTTTCCATTTTTCACTTTCCTTCTATACCAAGAATGACGTCCTTCTCCATGGACTGGTGTCTCCTAACAGCATATTCAAAGTATGTAAGATGAAGTCTACCCTCCTTGCCTAGACAGGGTAAACTTCTTCCGTGTTCGTTGTGCAACTTTCACATGCATATAAGGCAATGGAAGATACCATGGCTTGGTCTGGTGCACCTTAGTCCTCAAAGGAGCATTCTTGCTTTTCAGTACTCTGTAGCGATCTTGTGCAGCATACCTGTGTTGAGTAGACCACACTAAAAAGCTTGCGTATTTTGGTGCCACTGAAATAGGACCACTAGATGGAGCTGTTTAATAAACTCCAAAGTAGTTTAAAAGTTTATCCTAAGTATACTGTAAATTTGGAATTAACTGCACATTTATACTTTTATGTTTTTCATAAACCGATACACTTACCTGACTTATAAAGGCAGTGTAATAGCAGGCAAGTCTTGAATAGGACCCAGAAAAGAGTGCTTGATGAATCTTTTAATAGTTTAAAGTTGAAATGTTATCACTAAAATGAGCATCATTTAAAAAACATTAGGATCTGAGTTTGTAGCTTAGACTCAGTCGTTTTTTCTTGGCTTCTTATTTAATGTTAATCAGTTTTTCATAGAAGACATTGCTATATGCCTCTTGTTCATTTGACTTTTACGTAAGTAAACTATGAACTAAACATGGTTCATAGGCATTCCAGGAGAAGTCAAGACATATGCATTGTTTTTCTGTACCCAGTGACTATTGATGCCTAAGGCCTAAATGCATTTCTCACTATGGCAGGATGCGTTCTCCGTCTTAAAAAAGGGGAAATAAGGGCCGGGTTTTTGTGGTTTGTCGTTGTTGCTTTTAATTTAAAGGGACTTTGAAACTACAACATATGCTGTTAATTTCCTTTTGTTTTATTCATTTTAAATGATTGCTCTGTATAAAGTCTTGGTCATCACTGTGCCGAGAATTTTAAAACAGTCCTGTAACCATTCCAAGAGTCCCTGCAAAAGAAATATGAGGAGACTTCAAAAGTTTGTTCATGGAAAGCAGAATTAAAAAATAATGGAATTTTTCCACAAACTTTTTTGAAGCCCCTTTGTGTGCTGTTCCTGGTTTAAAAAAAGGGGCAACTGACTCAGATTAAATTACTTTCCCACAAAACTCGGGCCTAGTAAGATAGGAGCTTCAGATTGGTGCTATGTTTATGCTTTTAACCTCTTTCTTTTGTCCTTATACAGTATTTTTGAGCATCAGTATTGTTTCTGCTTTGCACAAAAGTTAAGGTTTTAACCAAGATAAAAATTCCCCAAAAAAACCCCAAAGAACCCTGCCATCGAGTCGATTCCCACTAATAGTGACTCTGTGGGACAGAATCAAGTTTCCCCGTAGGATTTCTGAGGCCTTAAAATTTTAAGGACCTAGACTGCCACTTCTCTTTCCTGCAGAGTGGTAGCTTGGTGTTTTCAAGCCACCATCTTTTTGATTAGCATTAAAATGCTTAGCCATTAAGCAAGTAGAAATGCCATGCCTTCATTTATGTGTGCACCTCTGCGGAAATGATGCTTCACTCAGACACAGATGTGTATTAAGTCCCAACTATTACATGTCAACCTCTGTAACACCTGGCAGAAAGAATTATCTAACTTAGCAGAGGGCTCAAGAAAGCTTTTGTACTCCCTGGACCACTGTCAATGTCTAGACCAGCAGTTCTCAACCTGTGGGTCATGACCCCTTTGGGGTCCAATGGTACCCTAAGACCATTGGAAAACACATCAATATTTCACAGTATATAATTACATATTTTTTTGTGATTAGTCACTGTGCTTTAATTATGTTCAATTTGTAACAATGAAAATACATCCTGCATATCAGATATTTACATGGTGATTCATAACAGTAGCAAAATTACAGTTATGAAGTAGCAACGAAAATAATTTTGTGGTTGGGGGTCACCACAATATGAGGAACTGTATTAAAGGGTTGCGGCATTAGGAAGATTGAGAACCACTGGTTTAGACTTATATCACCCATTTCTATGATGACCAGGAGGAGGCAGTGTAGTTGACTGATCCATACAGAGGGCCAAGCTCACAACCTTGCCCGCATTGGTCTCTATCTCACTGGGGACTTCTAGGCAACTGCTTTGCTAGGTTGATCCTGATACCCATTGTAGAACACCTAGGGATGGTATAGATGTGGGTACTCCAAACCCCAGAAAGCTACGTGTGGAGACCCCAGACCCAGACCTAACACTGGGAAAAACGTGGGTGCCACCGTCCCCCTAGGGCTTCTTCAGAGGGCAACTCAAGTAAAAGCTAGCACACAAATCAGGCACAACAGGTAAAAGAAGCCATATTCACAAATGGCTTTAGATTGGTGTGCTATTTCCAGCCTTTAGTACACTGGTTTGTTTTATGTTTTTTAATGTTTCCATATTTTGTCAGAAGCACAGTCATACTGTTTGTTTAGTGTGGGTGTTAAAGGTGTTACTGTGTTCAAAGCAAACATTTAAAATATACTATAAAAGGAAAAAAAGAACAAGAAAGATTTCTTAGTAATAAACTTAGGCCTGAAAGGTGAAATCAGAGCTTTTTTCCCCTACCTAATTTGGTAGAATCAGGACCAAATATTTATGGAGGGCTACCAGCAAGTCAGGTGGCTAGCCTTTGGCTACAAGCTACTAAAGGGTTTGAACCCACCCATAAAGACTTGACAGTTTGCTTCTGCAAGGCCATACCATGGAAAACCAGTGGAGTAGGTCTGCTGTGTACCCGTGGGATGATCACTATGAGTCAACATGAACTCAATGGCTATTAACGATGACCAAGAGAAGAGTGGTTGCTAGGCAGGGCTAAAAAGCTGCCCAAGAGATCTTTTTGTGCTTGTGAGTGGAGGAATATGCAACAGAGTGTAAGTTTATCCAATAGTTTCCACGTGTGCAGGCCCGTTCCATTCTTCACCGTGCATTCCCATTTCTACATCACTACCCCTGTTGTTTCAGCACCACTAACTTTTGCTTTCTAGGGTTCTTTAAAGTTCTTCTCTCTGCTTTTGCATTACTGTTGTCAATGTGATCGAAATCATTCTTTAAAAGGGCAATGTCACGTATTTATTAATTAAATAGTACACTAGTTTAAACATGATTATGTGGGATAATTCTGTTTCAAGGTTTAGATATTTTCATCAGAGGATTTGATTTAGGGGTTCCCCTGATTTCAGTGGATCTAGTAAGTCTGGTTCCATAAGAATTTGAAGTTCCATTATACTCTTTTACTTCTTTTGAAAAGGGTCCATATATTGAGCACTTGATTAAAACACTCTGTCATGGTAGCTAGGTACCAATCATTTCTTTTGGTCTCATGGTAAAGGAAGTAGTTTATTCAGGCAGTTGACCTGCAGTTCATTTCCTTTCCAGTTCCTTCTGGGTCTCCTTCTTCCTCTACTGCTCCAGGTGATTAGAGATCAGTTGTATCCACCAACCTTTTAAGACACTTCGGTGCTATGCACTTGGAAAACAGAACAATAACTAGAAAGGTTAGACCAGTTGGCTAGTTATACCTATGAAGCTGCGACCTGAAACCTTTGAACTGATCTATTTAATCCCATGAGCTGGTGACTGAATTGAACCTGAATAAGCTAATTTTTTTCTTATGGTAGATATGATTGTTTTCTTATATTTTCATTTGATATTGATATATTCAGAAATGAATAATTTACAGGAAAAATGTGTGAGTAAACATACCTTGAGCGAGTGGAGACCAAGTGCTAATGTATAGTACTCTGTAAAACTTCGAGTGAAAACTATGGAGCGCAGTTCAACGCTGACACAGCAGGGTCTCCATGGGTCAGAATCAACTTGTTACCATCTGCTTTTTATATCCTTTCAAGTGGGTTCTTGGATTCAGAGTGAAGGTCTAAAGCTCAAATATGAAGTGCACATTTTCCCCGTTGGGGTTGTAAAGCCATTTATAGTTTGAGCTTCCTTACTTGTAAAGAAGCAGGGAGCTAAAGTAGAAAAGCACTGGGTAGCTACTTAGGATTCTTAAACCCCAAACCAAGCTTACTGCCATCAGGTAGTTTACATTTTTAATTGTGGAAACAAGACAGTTCTAGTCTGTTTCTGTGGGTGAAAAGGGAGGCCAGTGAGTAGAAGCTATGGATAGTGGGTTCTGGCTCAGCACCAAGAACAACTTTGTACAATTTGAGGAATCCAGAGATGGAATGACCTACCATGGTTTTCAAGATGATAACCAAAAACAAAACAAAAAAACCCTCACTGCCATCGAGTCAATTCCCACGCTCAGCGACCTGCCCCTGTGGGTTTCTGAGACTGTAACTCTTTACGTGAATAGAAAGCATCACTTTTTCCCTCAGAGCTGTTGGTGGTTTCAAACTGGTAACCTTGCAATTAGCAGCCCAATGTGTAACAAACTATGGCACCAGGACTCCTAGTAGGCTTCTAGACCCCGTTTTATCATTTAACTTCTGGGCTTTATCTTCTTCAGAATGGGAGACTGATTATGTTCATCACATTAAAAAATGGTCACATCGGAGAGACAAACGTAAGAACGACTGTGACGGTGCCGCAGGACCGGGCGGTGTTTCATTCTGTTGTACACAGGGTTGCTGGGAGTCACATCCAGCTCAGGGGCACCTAACAACAACAGGGATAAGCATGGAAGCATTTCATATGCTGTGAAGTGACTACAAATAAAAGTGGTAGGAAGTCATTATTTTGTTTCTGATTGGTGTAAGAATCAAATTGCAAAATTCTTAAGTACCTAGAACAGATCTGGCAGCCATATAGTAAGCATTTAACATCAGCAAGCACGGACTTGAAACAATTTAGGTACTCGAACACTATTTCTGAAAATTACAAAATTGGGCTGCATTAACATTTGTACCAAAGTACCGTATACGCTATCTAACCACCTGTTTTCATTTTCTAGGATCAAACTTAAGTCGCTGTGGTTTTCGAGGCTCATCATACCTGGGCATTCCATTCAGTCCGTCAAAGGTTGGTTGTTTGGGGTCCAGGAATAAGGAGAAGGGGAGATATTCTCATGACAGTAGAAACTAAGAAATTCTATAGGAAGAGATAGGTTTTTAAGTTTCAGTGTAGCATATGTTGTCTAATGGATCTTATGAACTAAGCTCCCCATCCCCCTTAAGAGAAAGCTATACCTGCCTTATTGAAAGAAGGCACCGTGCATATGTATACATTTTTCTCGTAATCATTACAGGGAAAAATATGCTATGAAGGAAGTTCTTTTGGTGAGCTTTCACCCTGGCTCTTGAGAAATTGTTCCCTTCAACCCTAAAGAGTTACCTTTCACAGTTTTTTAGCCCAAAGGGCTTGTTACATTTCCTGGTAAACTGTAAACAACTTAGTTGTTTGGGACTGTTTGTCTGGCATTGGACTGCAGCGTGCTCTGGGTTTGGTATGCACCCTGGGGGTACAGTGTATTATGCATTTGGCCTACTAACTGAAAGGTCAGAAAGATATACAGCCTTCCAAACCCTAAGGGGCAGTTCTACGCTTCCCTATAGGGTCACCATGAGTGGGACTTGGATGGCAGTGAGTTTGGTTTTTGTCTTGGGTTGCAGGTATTGTTCAACGTACCAGGGAAGTAAAATGACTGTGATCTGTGCAAATGAAGTTACTGTAGCCCACTATGCAAATGAAGAGTCTGTGTCCTGCCCAGATGAGATTAGTCAGTTTGTGGCCCCTTGTGGGAAGAGCTGTGCCTTGGAATTGTGTATATATTCAGCTAAAACAATAAAAGTTGTTCAGACCGAGAGAAGCAGAGGAGAAAGAGAAAAGCAGAGAGAGAGAGAAGAGTCAAGGAACTTCCCAGACTGACAAAATACCCATTTATAAACTATCAAGGGCTCATGCGGGAGGGGGGAGCGGGGAGGGAGGGGAAAAATGAGGACCTAATGTCGGGGGTTTAAATGGAGAGAAAATGTTTTGAGAAACGATGTACAAATGCGCTTTACACAATTGATGTGTGTATGGATTGGGATAACAGTTGAATGAGCCCCTAATAAAATGTTAAAAAAAAAAAAAAAAAAAAAAAAAAAAAGGAACTTCCCAGAAGCGTTCTAACACGAGTGAAGAACTTTGTTTAACATTGAATACAGCTAGAGACAGACATCTTTTTCTTTTGGAGGAACTGGTGGGTTTGAACTGTTGACCTGTGGTTATCAGCCCAGTCCCTAACCCACAGTACTGCAGGACTCCTTATCTTCCAGGAAGGCCTCCACTCCACCGGTGCAGTTCATTTGAGTTCCGAAGGAGTCCAGGATCTCGAGATTCTGGGTATAGTCTCCCAAAGAATTGTCTTGAAGGGGGGTGGCTGAAAATCTAGAAGATTGTGGGGCCAAGAACATCGTAGAAGCCAATGGGTATTGTCTTCTACAGTAGACAAATAGTGTCATTGCTTTTTCTTCTGAAATAGCAAACTACCCGTGGATCATTGATTTCCCTGATATTTGTTCAGGACCGACAGTGGCCACAGAGCACATGTTGAAAAACACTGGCAGATCCTGCAACTTAACTTTTTATTTTCCTTCACATATCATATCTTCTCGGTTGAGTTATGTATTGTCCTTTTTTTAAAATCATTTTATTAGGGGCTCATACAACTCTTATCATAATCCATACATACATCAATTGTGTAAAGCGCATTTGTACATTCATTGCCCTCATCATTCTCAAAACATTTCCTCTCCACTTAAGCCCCCAGCATATGTATTGTTCTTAATGCATACACCTTTGCTTGTATTTTTCCTACTGCCGACAATGTCTCCTCCCCATGTAATCTTCTCCTCTGCTACAGGAAAGAATCCTTGTTTAAATCTTTGTATTACTATTTTTCTCTCATTGCATTTATCACATTCTTATTGAGCAGAAAGTACTTTTCTGCCCTTAAAATTAAAGTCCACATTTAATTTGTGTTTGGATCTCCCATGATTTTAACAGAGCCAAAGTTTAAAGTACCAAAAACGAAATATGCTATTAGGATTCTAAGAAGGTAATTATAAATACAGAACAGAATAAATAGCAGAGTTAAAGTTTCCATTCTATGAAGGAACTTAGAAGGAAAGAAATGTCAAGAGTAAAATTTGTTGCACGTATTTGTGGGGCCATGTAAGGACTGGTGCACATAAGGGTAGATGGGTTGGGTGGGTTTATATTATAGATAATGTTGAACAGCATGCATATTGTTTTGCGTGGAACCACAGAAGGTGCCTCTGAGGTCTCCGAGTCATGATTCCAAAGAAGTAGTGGTCCTTTTGACGTTTGCCTTGTTTTATATCCATCACATCTTGAAACTAACATCTTTATAGATAGTGCCATTGTTTAGCTCTCACAGTAATCCTATGAAGTAGGTAGGAACTAATATCCCATTTTTCAGAATGAGGAAAATGAAGTAAGCCAAGATACTTCGTGAGCCATGCTTTGATACCTTTCAATGGTTATGGAAGTTAACTTTTTGTTTGAAAGTTAACATTTATTAAGTAAGGCAGAGGAGTAAATTTTAACTAAAACCTTAGCACAGATGTTATTTTAACATTATGGCATTATGAGCAGTTATGATAGAACTTAAAACAGTTAATGATAAACCCAAACTGTAAAGAAGGAAATTCAACCTTTATGATTACCATATACATTCGAGTATCAGCCGACCCGAATATCTGCCGAGGCACCTAATTTTACCACAAATACTGCATTAAAAATGTGCTGAAAAGCTCGGCTTTTACTCAAGCATATACGGTAATTAAAAATATGTTCCTACTCCATCAAAAGTAAAACTTTCTTAGACTAAGAAATTAGTACCATGAAATTTGACATTTTCCAACTGAAACCAGGCTTTTAAAATAACCAATTAAAAAATAAAATAACCAATTTAATGGATTGACTATTTGAAATGAATTATAAACACTCAATATTTTGCATATTGTGAAATGTGTAGTTACTTAGCATATGAAACAATTTTAAGTTTTAAATTCCAAGATATATCTGTGCTCTGTCAATTCCCAGGGCCTATAGCAGATTTCGTACAAAATGTTGCATGTTTTATAAAGCTTAAAGAGATCTTTAATATTTATTTGCAGTTCTCTTTTGTTGAAACAATCCAATCAAATGGGATTAATCCAACCCATTTGTGATTACTGAATTTCTTCTCTATTTCCCAGCTTTTCCTGAGCAATTGCTAGTTTTCATAGTCTTCTCTCTGTGAGGGAGAAGGCTTCATAAAACTTTGTGTAGCTAACACCTTACTAGGCTCTAAAATTTTGAAACTTTGTTTTATTTCTAGAGAATTTCTCAGTGAGCTTTAGTTTTTTGAGCCTTTGTATGGGTTGTGCCTAGTCTTCTATTGATTGGAGACTCAGAGCAATGATAGGGTTATCTCACTGTTCTAGTTTATATTATAGTTATATGATGATTGTTATTATGATGTTTAATTTGAATTTGCCCATTATAAAATAATTTTCATTTGTCTTAGGAATCTTTTTTGTTCAACTATTGAGTGATGAAATAAAACCCCAACAAAACTAGCCGCCTGCCATTGAGTTTACTCTGACTCATAGGGAATCTAAAGGACAGACAGATTACTCCTTATGGTTCCCAGGCTATCAGTCTTTATCCGGGTAGATGGCCTCTTCTTCCTACAAAGTGGCTGGGGGCTTTGAACCATCAACCCACAGGGCCACCAGTGACCTGCTAGGTAATAGCGTCAATACTAGATGAAGCTCAAATAGTTTGGTTTATTTGAGTATCAAAGGTACTTCCTAAAGCGTGAGATTTCTAGGATAAATTTTAAGGTTGTATAGCCTAGATTGTATATGATCACATTTATGCTAAAATATGTAAATTGTAGCTTTGATGTTCTCATTTTATCAGATAGCTTGACAAATCAATACAAGTAACACTTATTTTGCTGTTTAAAGAAGTCAAATGTCACAGTACTTAATGGAATGTTATAATTAGTTAGTTGCTTTATTAACATCTTAATTTTGAATTTAGAATCCTGGGACAGCGCATCCTTACGATAGTGGCCACATAGCAATGACTTACACAGGCCTTTCGTGCCTAGTTATTCTTGGAGATGACTTAAGCCGAGTGAATAAAGAAGCTTGCCTAGCAGGCCTACGAGCCCTTCAGCTCGAAGATGGAAGGTACGGATCATTCTTTGTTCCTTTTTCTAATGAAAATGTTTTGAGAATTAAAAATAAAAATATGCATAATACTATACAAGAACTTTAAAAGAACATAAAGTAGTTAGAACTACCTAAACTTTATATTGTTAAGTGTCTGATTTTAAAAATTCTTGATTAAAATAATAATAATTTATAAATTATCGAGGGTTCAGGGGGAGTAGGGAGTGGGGAGGGAGGGGGAAAAATGAGAAGCGGATACCAAGGGCTCAAGTGGAAAGCGGGTGTTGTGAGAATGATGAAGTCAACATATGTACTAATGTGCTAGACACAAATGATGTATGTACAGGTTGTGATGAGTTGTATGAGCCCCTAATAACATGATTATTAAAAAAAAAATTCTTACGTGAATGAAAATAAAAGTGATCAGAATGGCAGAACTCTTTCTCCTTTCTTTTTTCTTCTTCTTTTACTGAAGTGATAGATCCATAAGTAAGTGAGTGAATAAATTCAAGTTTAATATTGAATTTACCTTCTGGATAAGGGGCTAGATATTTTGATGTAAGCATACATTTAGTCTGAACTTTTACCCCTTAATTCATAGTGCTTTAAGGAGAAAATATAAAAATTGAGTATTAAATTTATCTATATGTAAGTAGTTTCAGTGATATTTTCAAAGAATAGAAGAATTGTTAGCAAGTTTATTATCATTTAATAACGAATGCGCTGTTTTTCTTAAATTTTTTTCCCTAGAGTGCTAAGATATCAAAGAGCACGTTCAAGCTAGGAAGGAATAGAGCAGTAGTAATGCTGCCTAAGAAAGACATCCCTGACAAGTCCTGCTGTGCAAGTTTGGTCACAACTTTGTGCTTCATCTGCAGTCTCTTGTTCTTTACCTGACAGTGTTTAAAACCACTGCAATTGATTCATGGAGACCCATGGGACAAATTGACATCTGTTGTAAATAAACTGAAGATTCAATAAACTGTATAAAACTGGAGATTTACTTCAGCCACATGTGACTAATGTTTCATTATTTCAGTGTAGTTTGGTTACTGCTCCCTTAACCTTGTTGCTAAACAAAAGTCTAAATACAAGATGTAATTTTTCCTCTCTAAAATATTAAGTAGGTAAAGATTAAATTAAAACACAATATAAATCAACTGATTATTATCAGTACATACATTTGGGGAAAATTTTCGGCAGCAAAACTGGACTTAGAAATGTCTAGTACTCCCCCTACCCGAAAGTTCCCTCTTTACTGTTACTTTTTCTGCCCTCAGTTCTCAAGCCAATATGCACAGCTGTCCCTGCTGGGAGCACAGAGAGCTAGCTTACTGTGGAAAGCGTCTGGGAAGGAGGAACTGGAATAGTCTGTCACACGCGCCCCAAATCAGAATTGCAATGTGATGGCTTAGCAATAGCTTTATGTCATTAAAGTTAGAAGGCCTATTTTTTCCTTTTTAGACAATTTGATTGGCAGATAATCCACATATCGTACATTTCAATCATTCAAGCATATCAAGAAGAATTGTACAATCATCACCACAATCAATTTTAGAACGTTTTCTTTTTTCTTAAATCATTTTATTAGGGGCTCATACAACTCATCACAATCCATACATACATCAATTGTGTAAAGTACACTTGTACATTCATTGCCCTCATCATTCGTAAAACATCTGCTCTCCGCTTAAGCCCCTGGCCTGGCTCCTCATTTACTCCCCTCCCTCCCCGCTCCCCCTTCCCGATTGCAAGAAGGCCTATTCTTTAATGAACAATACAAAGAGAATATGATTCTTCTATCAATAGTAAGTTTTTCTCAGAGTAAAGACTCTTCAGTACGTATTTCTACCACCACCACTCCTGCAAAAAGCATTGTAGTGTTGCTGGATAACCTTTTTGTTATTGTTTTCAGTTTTTGTGCCGTACTTGAAGGAAGTGAAAATGACATGCGATTTGTGTACTGTGCTTCCTGTATTTGCTATATGCTCAACAACTGGTCAGGCATGGATGTGAAAAAAGCCATTGACTATATTAGAAGAAGTATGGTGAGTTACATTGAATAAATTCGCTCTTTTAGATTATGATTACTACAAACAGCACAAAGGGCACATTTGACATCCTCTGGCTACACGGGAGAAGGAGAATCGTACTTCCCACCAGACCCAGGCCAATTGTCCCAATGTATGCCTCCACCCTCCTTCCTTCTTTGCCCTGTTCTGACTGCTGTCTGTCCTTCCCACTGCACTCTGCTAGTTTAACAACTGTCATGGCCAGAACTCACAGACAGCATTCACATTAGGGGTGTATTAGGCAAGTTAGTGGGTTCCCCTTAGCCAAGATCAGAATACAGTAAGGAAACAGTCAGTCATTGGTCCACAGCAACGCCTTCCTCCGCCAGCAGCCAAGTCGCTGGGTCCTCAGCCTCGTAACCACATGCTCCATTGGCCTCTGGTCTCCAGAGACCAGGAAGCCCACCCCCTGCTCTGCCTCGCCGTCTCATAGTATCAGTGCCGCTCCTCTCTCCTATCTCGGGGTCTTCATGCCTCAGCCTCTCATGCAGGCTTGACTTCTTTGCTGTGTCCCATGGTTGCTGTGCCACAGCCTCTGAGCCCTCTCTCAGTGTCGGCCTCCACCAGCTCACACAGAGATCTGGAATGTACTCCACCGGTGGGTCTTCATCCTTGGAGTCGTGGCATTTCTTTCTGTTCCTGTTATTTAAAAAGCTCTTTCTTCTTTAACTGCATTTGCACTGTATTTGAATTTTATTTCCAGCATTAACACTGTTTGCTTCTTTGCTGCACTTTGATCTTTGGTGAACTATTCTTTTAGTTACATAAAATGTTGCCTGGATGTGTCACTGGGTAAACAAGAGAACACGGCCACACATTTTGCCACCTGTACATGAACTGCATAGCAGTAGATGGACAATACCCAATGACTTAACAGACTTGGACGGAAGTGGCATGTGGGTCACTCCTTACAATGTGCTATTTTTTGTAATCATTTGTGACTTGGAGAACTAGAAACCAAGTTTATATCTTATGCAGTTATTCATAATTGACTTACAGTAACCACTGAAATTTGAATGTGTTCTATTGCAAATGTTAAAATGGGACTGAACATTTTAGAAGTGTTTAAAGTAAGAGCCATCTGTGTTTTTGCACTTAAGGTGGACTTTTCTTCTTTAGACAATACAGTGATTTTAGATCAGTCATAGACCTGACATGAGCTCCCCCTTTCCTTTCTCAAGTGAGAACTCTCTTTTTCACAGATTGTCTTGATTAGATCTTGTAAGATATGTGAGGAGATTCCATTTTAGCAGCTAACGTAATCCTTGCATACCCAAAACTGTTCTCGTAGAGTAATGGATTACGAGGTGGGCTGCCTACCACAAGGTCGTTGTTTCAAGCTCACTGGCTGCTGAGAGCGCTGAGACTTTCTATTCCCAGAAAGATTGATACTCTGGGAAACCCACGGACCGTTCTACTCTGTCCTGCAGGGTCACTATGAGTCTAAATCGACTGGAGGGCAACATTTAATTTTTTAATGTTTGTCATGTTTTATGAATATAATACCCTTTTTTTTTATCTTGCAAGTGAGTGCTGAATGAGTTGTGACATTTCATAAACTAACTGTCATTGAATTGATTCTGACTCATAGTGACTGTATAGGACAGAGAACTGCCCTATGCGTGTCCTAGCCTGTAACTCTGCCTCATCTTTCTCCCATAGAGTAGCTGGTGGTTTTGAAGTTGGACCTTGCCATTAGCTGCCCCAGCATGGGACCCACTGCGCTACTTAGGGCTCCTTATGGCTTTTTATTGGGTCAAAATTAGACATGTAGGTATCATCTTTAAATAGTTTGTTCTTAGAATGGGCCCTATGGTGTGCCATTTATTGAATTGACTTGGTAAGACAAAGTCAGGTATTTAAAATGCCTCGATTTATTGCCTTATTTGTAGGAAGGGAATGCAGAGTTTGGAAAATATAAAAGAGAAATTATAAATTCAATTAGATAAAGTTAGCATAGTGGAAACTTATTTGTTTTTTTATTAAATTATTGTATTAAATTTTATTAAATTATTATTATTTCCCTATTAAGATTAAAACTTTTTTTTTCAGTCTTATGACAATGGACTGGCACAGGGAGCTGGACTTGAATCTCATGGTAAGACCTCTTAAAAATAAACGAATGTGTAGTTTCTTTTGTTCGCTTAAATGACCTCATGAAACCATTAGTACAAAGAAGTTTGTTTCAACCCATAGTATAGCCTGCTTATATTCTATGCCACTTTTCTTGTTTCCCTCTCTTGATACTCTTGTGCCTACTTGAAGCCTCCTCTGGGATAGTAATTATTTACAGATTATTCATATCAGAAATTTTCATATAAGATAGCCTAGTAATCTATCAAAATGCTAGTTGCATAAGAATCTTGGGATCATTTTAAAAAATAGGATTAGAAAAAGAATAGAGATTTTTTTTGCATAAAACTGAAAAAGCTCAACCAAACAGATGCAAAATATTAAATATGAATCAATAAGTTTGTGAAGAAATTAAATGTTTTGGTTTTGTCTTCCTGAATGTAATTATCCTTAGATGTAGTCATAACAACATGACTGTAAGCTGCCTTCGTTGTCTAGTGCTGCAACAACAGAAGCACCACACATTGGGAGGTTAGCAAACAGAATTTACTCTCTCGTGGTTCAGGGAACTAGACATCGCTATTCGGAGTACCGGTTCTCTGTGTTGGCTTAGCGTTGTCTCCTGTTAGCATCTGTAGACCTGGCATTCTTTGGAAGCCTCCATGTGTCTCGATCTTCTACTGGGTCTAGGAGGTTCCCAGCCCAGGGACTATAATCAGTGAATTCACTCCACTTCCAACTCTTCTTTCTCGGTGGCAGTAAGTCCCTGTCTCCATGCTAGCTTCTCTCTCTTTTTATCTCTTGTAAGATAAAAGGAGTTATAGGGCCAATCTAGGAAAAAGACCCTTTCCCTGAATCTGGACTAGAAAAGGATGAAAGGTGTTTTGTCTTACTCAATGCTTTCACACCTGGGTTGGTTTTTGGTCTCACATCCATGGGAGGTGATTACATAACAGCCACATTACATCATTACATGCCTGCCAAACCACTGAGGTTTATGAAGGTGATACTTTTGTCTTTTCTTTCGAAGGGTGAGGTAGGACTTGATATAATTCAATGACATATATGTTAGTAGCTTAAGTGCAGAGCCAACATTAGCATTGCCTCTTTCCAATTTCCTCCCACCATGTCTGAACCAGAATAGTGAAATAATAAGTACTAAATTTATCAGCACATCAATAGCTTTAATTCTTAGGTTGAATGCTTCCATTCATAAATAAATAAGCTTTAATGTTTCTATTTTAAAAAAGAAAGAACCCAAATCAAAGAGGTTCTCTTAAGTGCACTCCTCCAATTTCTCTTCCCCGTCACAGCAGAGTGTGTGTGCTCAGCTGTTGTGTCCATCCCTCTGCTAGTATGGAAAACAAAGAACAGAAGGCCGTTAAATCAGTGAGCCAAGATGGCCCCGCAAGCACCAACTCAAAATTTCACACATGCAGTTTTTAAAATTACCCAAACAAGCAGATTTGTAGCCATGTCGAGCCTGCCTGCTTTGTGTAGTTCACAGAACTTCATGCAGCACCTGCCAACATAGACGGGGTATACCCTGAGGTTACCAGACCCCAGACTGTTGCTGCTCTTAAAAGCTCTCTGACACAAAGATTTCCCGTGGTGTTGCTGGAGGCATGTAACCCCCCTTTCAAAGTCCCCCTTTCTGCCTAGGGCTCCATTATCTCTTACCTTCTGATAGCTCCCTGTGTCTCTTGCCTATGGGAGAACTCCTGCCACCAGAGATTGTCCCCTTATGCACACGGTACGTGTCCACCTCAGTAGCTAGTTTCTTGTGCCTCACTGCCATCTCATGATCATATCTTTATCCTTGCTCCTCCCTAAACTCCCTCAAACTCGCTCCAAGGTCTCAGCTCTGACTAGTTTGATCTTGGCTTATCACTTAATCTCTCTAAAGATTTTTCATCAGAGTAGAAATAATTGTATATTTCTTTCCGATTGTTATCAGGATTATAAGATAAATGCATGAGAGGGAAATAGTTTCTAAATTGTAAAAGGAATACCAAAGTTGTCTTCAACAAAAATCCCTTGACCCCTTATCCTTATACATCCTTGGGCCTTATGCTCTCAGGTATCTTCTCCCTCTCTCACGTTTAACTCCTTCCCTCCACTTAGATATTTGTAGACTCTTTCTCAGTAAGGGTAGAGAGAAGGTGGTATTGGGTTTCTGTGAAGTCTGCAAAAGTTGTTAAGTGCTCTCTCGTCAGTTCAAGCTCACAGTGACCCTCTGAGCAACAGAAGGAAGCACTGCCGGGTCCACCCTAATTCTGTTGAGTCTGAGAGATGGAAGGCTGGCAATAAAGCAAGGGGATTCCAAAGAGGTTGTGAAAAAATGAAATTAAAAGGGACTGGAATTTTTCCATAAACGTTTAAGCCCCCTGGCCTTCATTGTTTCCAGTCATCGCCACATGAGAGGGAAGAGGGTGTACTTGCACAAAGACACAGTCTGCAGCTAGAGGTATTCCTAAGGAGACAAACCTCTGGTGCGCATTGTTCTGGATGGTGTAAATAGGCACTTTCACTGGGGACATACCTCACCCGCACCTGGGGAACCGTGGGGTAGGTACTGTACTTTCTAAGAAGTTGGAATTATGTTCTCTTGTCATAAAGAGAGGGCTGCTCAAATATAATATTCCCTGACAAGCTCTATTAGGGGGGAAGCTTCCTGAGTCATACAAGTAGTGAATTTTAGTCAGTATAACTTGAAAAGGATTGTATACATTGGGATCATCAGTAGTTCATGCTCCCAAATCTTGTGTCTTCATTTTATTTTTAAATTTGGCTCAGTAAATCTGAGACCTAAAGCCACAGGTGGGCCTTTCCAATCAGAGTGCTACAGTATACTGGTGTACCCTAGAAGGGATGAAGGCTCCCACTGCCTTAGGTTCAACCAAGCAGACGTGGGAGACTGGCTCCTCTTACGAGAGTACCTCAGCTTGTTCTTTAATTGTCTATGTAAGTTTTCAACAAATTACGACTTTTTAAAGTTGTGAATGGTCTAGATTTCAAATCCACTCTTGTTCTTCTTTTTTTTTTTAATCCAGCAGTGTGGAGTTTTCTCTCTTTCTTTAATACAGCAGGCTTATACATCTTCATGAAACATTTAAGTGTCAATAGCATCAGTACTCCCATTCACAATTCCTTAGTGAAAACAAAGAAAAAGACAATCACTCAAAATCTTGCTTACTCTATAAACTGTGACCTGAATACTGACTCCAAACAGAAATCATTTCTAATGAACTCAATGAAAGACATCAATAAAAGTAATTGAACAATTTCCACCACTTTGAGCCCAGTGGAGCTGATAACATGTATCTATCTTCCCAAAGAGTTTGCCATGGGCCTGGTCAGTAAAATCATGAAAACAGCCATCACTAAGGAAATACTTGTCTTTCAGGGACCAACACAACTAGATTTTTTCCCTTTTGCATTTTTCTTTTCTTTTTTTGTAAAGTTACCTCAGTGGACTCATGCTGTACTTGTCCTTTTGTGCTTGGCTTACTTCACTTAGCATTATTTCCTCCAGTTCTTCCCGTGCGGTGATCTGCTTCATGCGTTCATCAATGCTTTTTAGCGATGCGTGGTACTCCATTGTATGTATGTGCCACAAATTTTTAATCCATTCGTCTGTTGATGGAAATTTGGGTTGTTTCCAACTCCGTGCGATTGTGAACTGTGCCTCAGTGAACATTGGAGCACAGATGTCTGGCCGTGGTTTGTTTCTTGCCTCTTCTGGGTATATGCCCAATAGGGGGATTGCTGGGTTGTATGGTAGCCCGATTTCCATCTGTTTACATATCACCAAATCTATTTCCATAGTGCCTGCACATACCTACAGGTCCACCAGCAGTGGATGAGCATTCCTGTCTCCCCACAGCCCCTCCAACACTTGTTGCGCTCTGACTTTTTGATTTGGGCTATCTTTGGTACTTCATTGTTGTTTCCACTCTTGTTCTTAGCTCTCATTTTCCACTATTAAATGTGGTCTTTAAAGTTAACTTCCTCCGCCTGTCTTAAAACATTACAGTTTTGCTTGACCTACTTTCTGAGAAGGTGTTTCAGTCTCTTTCACTGTCTTTGTTTCTTCTTTTCACGTCTTTCCCCTAGCTAGACCTGGAAAATTTCAAGCCCCTCTCCTGCCCGATTTTGTCTGCAGGGGACGTAAGTGCCTCAAGACAATGTGCCCCCCAGTGTGCCTTCCGACATCTCGGTGACTTTGTATTTGCTGTTCCCTCCCGTTAGAATGTTCCCCACTCCAGCATGTATTTGACTTTTCCTCTTTTCCTTCAGGTCTTTGTTCAAACGACACTTTTTTTCAGTGAACTGCTATCTAATCTCCACACCCCTTACCCTCCTTTCCAACTATTTTTACTTATATTCTTTATATTTTATAAATGGTCTATTGTGTTTATTATCTGTGTCGTCCCCCCCCCACATACTATAAACCTCACTAAAACAGAGATATTAGAATCTTTTACTCAGTGTTGTATCCCCTACACCTATAGCATTTTTGACCCACATTGAAATAATCAACAGATGGTTCTTCGTCAATCATCTTTCTGTTGATGGCACACCAAACTATGCTCCCCCGTGTATATGTTACTCATGAGCTCCTACCAACAAAAACAACATGTGCCAGAGAGGAGCCCTGGCAGTACTCTCGGATTAGCATTAGTAGGCTAACTACGAAACATCTCAAATCCACTAGGCAATTCACGTGGAAAGGTGAGGCTGTCTGCTCCCATAAAGGTTTGCAAAGCCTTGGAAACCCTGTGTAGGGTTGCAATGAGTCGAAATCAACTTGATGGCAATGAGTAAATGAATGTGATGAGTTAGAATCAAGTCAATGGCAATGGACTTGGTTATATGCCAGATAGAATTTGATAATTTTTTTGCAGTCTGACTTCATCCTCACCCCAGCCTTCTGAGGATAGACATCTTTGTACTAGAATTTAATCAATGTAATACTATCAGCTTCTCCTCCCTTTCCACTATTGATACCCAGACCATCAGCAAAAGAGGAAACACCTCTTTTGGATGGTCCGACCCATTTGTTGGGTGGTAGTTAAAAAGACTCTGGCTAGAATTGTCATACCCAGTTAATTGCTGCACCACACATCCCCAGGACAAGTTGCACATCACACAGGTGTGGTCCTTAGGGTTTTCATTGGCTAATTAGAGGAGCTAGATCTTCAGGCCTTTCTTCCTAGTCTATCATAGCATGGACACTGCACTGAAATCTGTTCAATAGCATACCGTAGTAACACACAAACCACCACTGACACTGCGCTGCTCACGGACTGCACAGCAGGGGATAGAACCCAGGTCTCCCAGAAGGAGGGCAACAGTTCTACCACAGACCCAAGTATTCACATGCTTTAACGCATAGACGATTTTGACTGCTTAGAGCCCAAACCTATTTCTCTTTCTGATGCTTTGGACAAAAGTAAAGAGTATTTTGGCTTTAAGGCGCGCCACTTTGCTCTAAAGCAGTGGTTCTCAACCTTCATCATGCCACGACCCTTTAATACAGTTCCTCATGTTGTGGTGACTCCCCCTACCAACCATAAAATTATTTTCGTTGCTACTTCATAACTGTAATTTTGCCACTGTTATGTATCGAGCGACCCCTGTGAAACGGTCGTTTGACCCCCAAAGGTGTCGTGACCCACAGGTTGACAACCACTGCTCTAAAGAATCCTCAGTGGTAGTTTGGACACTAGCAGTTGTTTCCTGTGGAATATAATTGCTTTTTGTTGGCATATTTTGTTTTTTTAGGGTTTTGGTGGCCAGCAGTCTAAAAAAGTCTTTATGAGGCTGAAATTAGTGTCAGCAGTGCTAACCGGTTCCTTCTGTTGGCTGCCAGGATTCCTTGGCTTGTCACTGTAGTCTATGTCCTCGACCAAATTGCCTGTTCCTCTTTCTATAGTCTAATCTTCCTCTACTCTCTCTTGTAAGGACATTTGTGATTATCCTGTAATCTGCCCATTTTAACCCCAAGAATCGTAACGTAACCACATCTGAAAAGTCCTTTGACCTTAGAAGGTAACATTCACAGATTCTAGAGATTAGATCCGTAGATATTTGGGGACCATTATTCAACCTTTCATAGTGGCATAGATACATTTAAAATGTTTGCTGTACATTTATTTCCATATATTTTTTCGTTTTATTCTTTTCTTTTTCTGTCTTTCCCACCTCTCTTACTATGTTACCTTAACTTTCTTAAAATTCTTAAACTGACTAGGTATCATTTCTGCATATCAGCTGCTAGTTTATGTTACATGCAAAAATCAGTCTTTAAATTTAAGGAGGTAGAACCTCAAATCATGAGTTAAGAAAACTATTCCATACTGTTTTTAAGGGAATTAAAACCAGACTCATATGAGAGTCATGGACAGGGAGCTAGTAGACTTAAATTTTAGTTTTAACATTTCCATAAGCCATGTAATTTGGAATGAATTCCTTTATCTCCCTGAATCTAAGTTTTTTTCTTAGTAGACATACAGTTCTAGTTTGTTTTTTCCTTTGTGTTTCATCATGTTAATATTTAAAGACCTTAGTGGGTTAAAATTATAACTAGTTGCCTTTAAAATTTATGATATCAGTTTATTTCACTGTTCTAGAATTATTTGATAGTTTCCAAAAAAAACATTTGGTGCTCTGCATAGGCATCTGTTTTGAAGTTTAAAGAATTGTGTGGTTTTGATTAACAGGAGGATCAACTTTTTGTGGCATTGCTTCACTGTGTCTGATGGGTAAACTAGAAGAAGTTTTTTCGGAAAAGGAATTAAACAGGATAAAGAGATGGTGTATAATGAGGCAGCAAAATGGTTATCAAGGAAGACCTAATAAGCCTGTGGACACCTGTTACTCTTTTTGGGTGGGAGCAACTCTAAAGGTAAGAGAAATAATAAAAAGAGAAAACTTGTCGTCTATGATAATACAAATTGATTGGTCTTTATAATGTACCTTAAATACTATCAGGTTTCAGTCACTAAGCTTTTCCTGTTGCTCTGGAAAAGCTATTCTTGTGTTGTTTTTCTATAGAATTCACTTATCTTCTTGTGCTACTTTGAAAATGGCCTTTCTTTAAAAACTCAAATGACATAGAACCTGGGTTAAATTGGCTTTAAAGGTTTCAGAGTTATTCCTACTGAAACTGTGCATCTAGAACAGGGATTTGTCAGAAAGCGCAGGAGTCCTTGGGAGCCATAACTGGTTAAGACCAGACCAACGAGCCAAAAGGTTGGCAGCTTGAACCCACTCAGAGGTGTCTCAAAAGGCAGAGCTGGCTTTTGGCTCCCAAAGGTCACAGCCTGAACCCCTTCTGAGCTTGATTAATGATTGATATATACAGAAGACATTGAGTCCCTATTGCTGCTACCTTTTGAATTCCTAATAAGGGTATGATTATCCAAATACTAAACTTTTTTTTTCACCTTCAAGTTGCCTTTTACTCTTTTTTTTTTAAATCATTTTATGGGGCGGGGTCATACAACTCTTACCATAATTCAGACATACATCCATTGCATCAAGCACGTTTGTACATTTGTTGCCGCCATCATTCTCAAAACATTTGCTTTTCCACTTGGGCTCTTGAAATCAGCTCCTCATTTTTCCCCTCCCTCTCTCCTCTCCCCTCCCTCATGAACCCTTGATAATTTATAAATTATTATTTTACCATATCTTGCACTGCCCAACGACTCCCTTCACCCACTTTTCTGTTGTCCATCCCCCAGGGAGGAGGTTATATGTAGATCCTTGTAATCAGTACCCCCTTTCTACCCCACCTTCCCTCCACCCTCCCGGTATTGCCACTGTCACCACTGGTCATGAGGGGTTCATCTGTCCTGGATTCCTTGTGCTTACAGTTTCTATCTGCACCACTGTACATCCTCTAGCCTAACCAGATTTGTAAGGTAGAATTGGGATCATGATAGTGAGGTGGGACAGGAAGCATTTAAGAACTAGAGTAAAAAGAGAACTAGAGGAAAGTTGTATGTTTCATCGATGCTACACTGCACCCTGAGTGACTCATCTCCTTCCCGCTACCCTCTGCAAAAGGATGTCCAGTTGCCTACAGGTGGGCATTGGGTCCCCACCCCGCACTCCCCCTCATTCATGATAGGATTTTTTGCTCTTTGGTACTTGCTGTCTAGGCCTTTCGACTCCTTGTGATCACGCTTTTACCTCTTAAGAACTACCACCTACTTAGTTTTTGTTTTTGGTCTGATCATCTGGAATCTAATAAAAGTATATGCGTCCATCTTTTATATAGTATCTAATTTTTCTCCCTTCAAAATTCATGCTAAGGCTTGAACCAAATACTGAATATAGAATAATTTTAAATAAACCACTTCTCATTTTCCAATCCCATTTCTGTGATGTACCTTTTTTGTTTTAATTAAAAAAATTTTCAGACATATTCAAACGTAGAGAAAATAGTATAATTGTCTTAGAGAAAGACAATCACAATCATTAGGGATAGGTAAACCCAAAATTCATAAAGCAGGCAGCAGGCTAACCCTGCAGGCATGTTTCCAAGGTCCCTTGGTCAGGTGACAGAAAGTGTTTGGCAAACTTGTAGTAACCATAGGTCCAGGTGACGTAAAATTAACCATCACAATAATGTACCCCTGTATGCTTGCTCATTAGCCTCATTTATCAACCCAAAGCAAACCTTTATCAATTCTATCCCTTCCCTCCACGTCACTATTATTTTAAGGCAAGTCCCTTTTTATATTGTCTGACTTTTTCTCAATGTGATCTGTTTAAAAAAAAAAAAAAAAGCCCAGCTTTTTAAGAAACACATCCTTAGCATGATTATCACACCATAAAAATTAGCCACTATCCTTTAGGTCGTAGTCCCCAACTTAAGGCAGTTTCATTCCACTGATTCCATTGTAAGTCAGTTCTTAAGTAAGTCAAATATCTTCTTTTTCCGGATCTTTTTAGTTTTCAGTATTGCCATAGCCTGCTATGTGGCAATGTTTTGAATAGTGAATCATAAGACTGAATATCTGCAAGCAAACAACAGAATGATAACATCAACAAATTATGTGTTGCAGCATTGTATGTATGTATGATAAGATACAAAAACATGTTATAAATAAAATTTGTTGTAACTCTGGTACATTGTATGTCAGGAACTGGCTGTATCTTGAAATCGCATATATATTATGATGTGTGTTTCCTATTCTGTCTCATCAAGAGGCACATAATATGGGGTTGCCCTTTTGATTAGAGGCTTCCAGAGCTACTGAGCTGGTTTATCCCTTACACGCTTCCTCATTAGTGTTTTACTGGAGGATTTCCGCATTGAGAACCAATGTATAGACTTATTATGTCATAAGATGTTTCAAAATGGTGATAATCTAATTTTAGTATTCCTTCTAAATTTATCAGCTAGAACTTTCATAGTAAGGAATTTCACTTTATCAGTTGTACCCCCAAAGTATAAAGGAGCATCAAATATTCTTGGGAAAATTCTTTTATTATTTCATTCCATTTGTCCAAGAACCTTTTGAAGCCCTTTCTTACATCATGTACAGAAAAAGGTGGATAAATATCTCATTCTTTTTTTAAAAACAGTGTTCAACACCGTAAGTTGGTTCTCTAGGTTTTAAGAGTTACTTATCTACCTTCAGTAGCATTGTAAGCAACACCGATTTTTAACATTTTGTACATGGGGGCTTCCCAAAATCGATGGAAAAGTGGAATTCAAAGATACTGGTATTTATCCACGAACTGTTTGAATGTCCTTCATATCTTTTAATCCGTTATGGTGGTTCTTTTTGATGCTCAAATTGTCTCATCTTTTACCAGTAGGAGCATCTTCAGCTTGGCTCCGGAATGTTCTTCATAATACCCAGGCAATTTTTACACCTTTCTATATTCAACCCTTTTAAACATTTTTCTACTTGTATTATGGTAATTCCATGCTTAATACTTTTAGATACCATTCTTGATTCCTAAGTATAAAAAATGAAGATTTAGCCACCTCATTTTCCAGTAAATTATTACTGGTTATATGATTAAGATTATACATTTTCCTTTTTATGTCATGATCCATGTACCATTTGAGGTGAGATGCTCTTAGTCTCAAAACCCTAGGAAGTCTTTCTTTATATGCTATTAGTTGATCACAATAAGTTATGTTTTTATTATTTTCTTATTTGTGCCACAACTTGCTTACAAATTTTGTTTCTCTTGAAATTTCTTACTGCACTTTTGCCTTTTTAGAAGAATGCCTTTCTTACTGTTATTATCCAGTCAAAATATTACATGAATTCTTTCCTCATGACCTTGTTCCTGGGAATGAATGGCATCCTGTTCTAATTTGAAAGAATTACTATATATGCCTATTTTAGAACTGCCATTTTGGGATTTCTTTCCATTGGATTCACGGGTTAGTTCTTTCCAAGAACAATTATTAAGAAATGATTCGCATCTGGTAGAACTTGGAACCACTACTCAGAACAGGTGCTTGCCATGCGCTCACAGCATGTCTGACTGGTGCATAAGGACTAACTGCATCATCAGCCATGGCTTTTCCATTTGTGTACTCTT